CCCCCACTTTTTGACATGTTTAATGAAATTTTGTTTCTTGGTTATCTAAAAACCTAATGCATGGTATGCTGTTCATTAAAAATTGTGATTGAAAGGAAGACATTTAATAAGAAGAAGTACAACGTATGATCTTTCTGTAGCCGCTCGGAGCAAGTAATGATATCTCATATGTAAAATTGTAAACACTTAAAAATAATTGCGTTTTAACGGTCTCGTCTAACCGTACATTGCGTACAAGGTTATTACAGTTAGCTTGCACCTTCATATTATGTAATATTTAACGAAGAGAAGAAGTGGCGGACACTAAGGGAGGGGGCGAGGGGGGCCGGAGCCCCCCGAATAATTTTGAAAGACACTGTAAAAATCTTGTACCAAACAACACAAATCACACTATATAACGTAATTGTCATATTAAATAATAACTATTTGACAATACTTAAGCTAAAACAGTAAGCAATATACCAAACAATATATAGAGGATATTAGACGGTTGCGAAGAGATATGGATTTTATGTTCGAGTGGCAAAAACAATATCTCACGAGTGAGCGCAGCGAAAGAGTGAGATATTGTTTTTGACACGAGAACATAAATCCATATCCTCTCGCAACCATTTAATGTTCTGTTTATTATATGGACTTACTTAGAGTGACAAAAACACACGCAAAGGCGACATGTAAATAAGCACGCGAAAGACCAATGTAAAAGCGATATTTTTCAAAATTATAGTGCAAACATAAAACTAGAATAAATTTTACTTATCTCAAGATGTCTTTTAAATTTTTTCGTTTCATTTCCAACGTTAATTTCGTTTTAAATACAAACCAAAGACCATTTGTATTTTCAAAACAACAACAATGAAAATGGCGGGAAATTTTCGAACTTCGTATGTCACTAGCAGGGGTGAAATACGGAAAATACGCGCACCTGGTCCCGGATGTAGTGACGTATAAGTTCTACGAGTGTTTTTGTTTCCAGTAAAACACCATTGTCCATATAATAAAATAATATACGTTTCTGTACTGTACATGACACAACATACGCATTTTATACATTCTTTTTGAAGGATACTAGGAGGTCATTGTCGATTTTTTGTTGTTTTTGAAGCTTATACTAGTCTTTAGCAGCAAAATTTTCTGCTGCACCATATTATTTGAATGCGTATTAAACTATTATGCTCAAAAACAACGGATAATTCAATTAACATTCCAATTTTACTTATGTTAACAAAAACAAAAGCGTGCGCAGCGAATAAATTTCACTCACTTAGCGAATAATTTTTTACATGTAATTCCATTCAGAAATGTTAATAATCATGCAAATATTTTCTCTGAAATGTTGTTTTTCTATGCTTTGCATGTGAACATAGTCTTTCGAGACATGATCTGGAAACTCAGTAAACTTCAAAGCGGTTATAATGAGCTGGGTTGTTATGTTGAACCGTACCTTACACCGTGCACATCTTTTGTTTTAGGTTTATTAATATTTAAATAGCATGGTTGAATGACTGAACTGAAACGTTGCTATTGGATGATTCGTTCATTATACTGAAATACAATGTGTTCATTGACCGTGCACCGTGCACAAAACTGCATAAACGCGAACAAAAAGATAGAACGAAGACTTTAGCGGAGTTTCCAAACCATGTTTTGAAAGACTATGATGTGAATTATAACTGAATGCCGACCACTAAAACAGTATTTTGAAAACCTAGTTTTTTTACAAAATGCGTTCTCAGAATGCTGCAAATGCCATTTGCGGGATCCAAATTTTAAAATTTTCCCGTGCCTTCGGCATGAGCCCCCCCCCCCTTGCGCCGATATTTCGTAAAGTGTCCGCCACTGAAGAGAAGTTATATGTAAATTTTCAGGTGCTAATAAATATTGATTAACTGAGTTTCCCTTACATAGATGATTATCATCAAAATAAGGCAAATTGTTAATTTAATAGATTATTAGCAGTTATAAAATAAGAATGAGGACATGTTCATCGAGAGTAACATCTGTTCGCAGGCTAGGACATGTTGGTTTCTCCCATGGTTAACATACTCACATTTCTCACGTGGATTTAAGATCATGCACATTGTAATATAACTTTATACGTGTGTCCAAAACGCTGGGAATGCCGTTTCAGTGTACCAAAATTTTTAAAAAAATTTCGGGTAGCATGCCTCCGGACCTTCATAGTTTGGAGTCCGTGTCCCACCCTACGGGATAGATTGACGCCCTTAGCTGAAATCCATTCCAAAATTATAGGACGTATTAAAATTGCCTTGTATGTTCGAAGATGGGTGTTTTAATTCTATACGCTTGGCGTTTTACCCGGAAACAAAACGAGAGAGATTTAAAAGGTGAAACCACACCACAGAAGTTAAAGAGTAGTTTAAATGATTTATATAGATCAAGACTTCATCCTCGCGATACTTAGCGTGGGATGTGTTTACTGTTCGATACTTAGGCGGCCCAATGTGTGCCGTTGCCTGCCTGCCTGCGCGCGGGCGAGGCATTGTATAGTTAACTGTATTAATATTTCCTAAGGTAGGCAAATGCAATCAAACTAACGATACATTATACCTTCAAACAATCCAAAATACTTCAAATATCTTTACATCTACGCTAAACTAATCAGGGAAATAAAATCTACGATACTTTTACTATATACTAACAATATTTTAACGTACAAAACAAATTTGTAATGCGAGAAAAATACGAAAAGTTTTTGCATTTTTTTCAATTCTTGAATGAGACGATGCTGGATTCGCGCTCGACGTTTTTGATGGCGTTTCAAATGACGAATTTCTAATCTCATTGGCTGTCATTTTT